GTCGCGGCCGCGGGGGGGAGGGGGCTGCTCCTGGAGGCAGCGGGACCGCGGGCCTCACTCAGGGCCGCACCTGGGCTTGCATCCAGCTCTGCGGCCACGCCCCCCCGCGAGAGGACAGGTGGCCGCCCCCAGTTGTGGCGGGGGGGCCCCCAGGCCCTCGTTATCAGGGGGAGGCTCCCCCTGAGCCCCTGACGGCCCTCCACGACCTGGGAAGGCCCCGCAGGGGTCCCGGCCCGGCAGGTGGGTGACCCTGTGACCTCACACCTGCTAGGAGCCTGGCCTCCGCGGCCGACACGCTTCCGGACAGCGGCCCCCCCGCCCCCGTGGCCGCCAGGCCGGGGAGCCCGAGGTCGCCCCCGCCTACACCAGGGGCCCTCTGCCGTCACCCCGGCACCCCGAGGGTCGTCGGTCTCCACCCGGCCCCCTGGCTCCCTCCCACAAAGGAGCTTGTCACCAGCTCCAGGCCCTAGCGGCTGTGCCCATCTCCGGGACGGCCAGGGCCGGGGCAGGTGGCCGGGCCGCGGCTCCGGGGACTGGTCTGCGACCATAGGGGGAGCCCGGCGCGGCCCTCCTGCCCCCCAGCGCCCCCCCCCCCGACTCCCACCACCCGCCCCCAACCACACACCCCATCGTGTTCCCGAAGCTCCTGGAAGAAGGGCGCAGGCTAAGAATCTCCGTTGGGAGCAGAGGAGGACGTGGCGCAGGTGCTGCCCACCCGGGGCGACCCCCAAGGCGCGGGGGGGGGGGGGGGGGGCAGGTCCCTGGAAAGGACACAGGCCTCGTCCTGGTGGAAGAGTCTGCGCTGGAAGTGGCTCCGAGGGACAGTGGGAGGTCAGGGCACTGACACACCGCCCCCTCAGAGCTGCAGACAATGGGACTGGGGTGTCCACCCCCGGAGAAGGAAAGGAGCGCAACAAGAAAAGGGGAGCGGAGCGGTGAGATCCTTCAGGGCAGCAGATGTCTTCAGCGATGTAAATCATCCCTGTGGGCCCATCTGAGCCCCGAAGCACTTAGCCGGACTGCCAGGTGCTCCTGGGGGGTCGAGTCACTCTCTGCAGCAGCAGGGATCAGGGGTCAGCCTCCCCCCTCCCCGGGGGCTCGCTCCCTCTCACCTCCCGCCTGGCCACCAGCTCGGAAGAGCTGGTTCTCGGGGAGTTGGGCCCCTGGTGGCCTCCGGCTGGGGGGGAGCCCGAGGGGCCCCACAGGCCCAGAGCCAAGGCCAATGGCTCAAGACCTCTGCTGTCCCCCCTCTGCTGTCGCTGCTAGTGTTTGTCATCTTGAGGGAGAACAACATGAACCGTCTCTTAAGTAATGCCGAGAGGTCAGAGCAGGTGACACACTCCTGTTCCTGCTTGGTGTTTGGTCTCTGGTGGCTTTCTGGGCGCTCCTCCTGAGGGTCACCCCAAGGAATCCTGGCGGTGTGACCAGAGGGACCAGCCCTGGGACAGCGGTCTCCGCCCACCTCCAGCCGTCCATCAGCCAACCCCTTACTGAGCCAGCTGAGGTGGCCCGGCAGCCAGGGGAGCCCAGGGGCACCGTTGGGCCACCCAGAGGGCTGGTGCCCGGGCTGCTGGGCATTCCCTACGAGGCGGGCACCCCCGGCCCCGCTCCATCCTACCCGCTACCTCTGGCAAAAGGCTGGGGAGTGCAGGATTCACAGCCCTCGGGGCGGCCAGGGCGCCAGCCCTCGATGCCTAGATCCAATAGGTACTCAGCAGGGGACACTGGCAGCAGCCAAAACTCCTGGCACCCAGGATTTCTGTCTGTGCCATGGGAAGCACCGCAGGGTCCTTGTGGGGCTGGAATTAAGTAGAGCCCCGGGGACACCCAGAAGGGCCCCACGATCAGGTGTGAGATCTGCGGCCACGCACTCGCGCAGTTCCAGAAACTCCAATGTCTGAGAACCAGTGACATCAAGATCCACCTCGCCTTACGTGTGGCTGCAGGCGCACAGAGCGCGTGTGCACACAGACACACACACGCCCAGGACTCCAAGCCTGGAACAGTGAAAAGCATCCTTTCAAGCCCAAAACGCAGAGGCCCCCCTACATCCGAGCCTGTAGGCGCCCCAGAGCCCCTGGGACATAGAGCGGGTCCTGGTGGAGCAGCCAGGTCACATCCCTGTGACATAGGCCATTCCAGACGTTGGTCCCTCGATGCATACCCTGCTCCCGCCCGCAAATGTCTGTGTGCGTGTGCATGTGCGTGCGCGCGCAAGAACATACAGGCCTATAGGTCACAGCCAGCGGCCCGCGGTGAGCGACCTCCATGAGGTCTCCCGCCCGCTGCCCTCAGCGGAAACCCCTACCCCCCACCCACACCCCCCCAGTGGTCCCCACTCCAAACTGCCTTGGACGCTGCCCTGGGGACGTATGTCACCCAGGTCCTGCCTGAGGGCCAGCGGCCCTGACTGCGGAGTAGGGCCCAGGGGACCCGAGAGGCCACAGGGCCGCCCGGAAAGCCTCGTGCGGGGCCTGATGCCCACGGGCCGCCGCCAGCACCGCGCTAAGAAGCCCCTGAAAAGCGGCAGCCTTCGGCTCGCCACCCCACCTGCCTGCCCAGAGGCGACGTGCCCGGTCCCCTGGGGTGCCCGCAGCCCGGAGCTGCCACCGCGCGGCCTCTGTGGCTCCGAGAACCCGGACCTGAGCCCCTTCGGTGTCTATAAAGAACACGCGAATTCATCCAAACTCAGTTATTTCTGCACAATCTCCATCTGGAGGCGCCTGGGGGGACCAGTGTTGAGCACCTGCCTTCCACTCAGGGCGTGACCCCGGGGTCCTGGGATCAAGTCCCGCATCAGGGTCCCCACAGGGAGCCTGCTTCTCCCTCTGCCTGTGTCTCTGCCTCTGTGTCTCTCAGGAATAAATAAATAAAATCTTTTTTTTTAATTTTTATTTATTTATGATAGTCACAGAGAGAGAGAGAGGCAGAGACATAGGCAGAAGGAGAAGCAGGCTCCATGCACCAGGAGCCCGACGTGGGATTCGATCCCGGGTCTCCAGGATTGCGCCCTGGACCAAAGGCAGGCGCCAAACTCCTGAGCCACCCAGGGATCCCTATAAATAAAATATTAAAAAAAAAAAAGGAATCCACATCTGGACTAGACTCCCTATCCATGCAATTGCATTAAACACTCACTAAACTTGAGTTTAAAGGTTTTTGGCTGGTGGCCAAAACAACTGAAATTCAGGACAGTTGGGGAGATTCAGAAAGATGGATCTTCGGAGGCTAAGGAGCCTCAGGGAGGAGCTTGACTTCCCGTCTTAAGGATTCCTGGACTATATTCTTGTCCAGTCAGGAGGAAATGGATTTGGCTCCACGGTCTTTCTAAGGGAACTGACACGTCGCTGAGCTTCCAGGGACGGACTGAGGCCGCGGAGATGGGCCAGGAGCGCAGGACACACCCTCACTCCGCTGCCCTGGGCCCAGGGGAGGCGGGTGCCTCCAGCCTGTGGGCCCGCTGCTAAAGTGCTGGTGGGTTAGAATCACCTGGAACACCTGCTGATGCACATACTGCATGGCCCTGGCCTGGAGTTCCTGATGCAGGAGGTCTGGGCGAAGCATGAGCCTTCCCAGGCGGTGCCAGGGCCCAGGGGCCACACTGGGGGAACACGCAGAGACTCCTGGGGGGGGCGGCTGAAGAACTATCTGTATTTTTAACCCTCCCCCAGGTGGAAAACAATGGGGCTGAGGAGCCACAGTAAATTGGAAAGGTGGGGTGACAGAAAGGGGGTGCCCTTAGGGGACAAAGGGACTTTCACAGTAAAGTCCTCCTGCATTCCTGGGGAGGGAGTCAGGCCATGGGGGGAGACTGAGGACACTATGGGCAGGCACAGGCTGGCCTCCCTATGCACCGTGTGGGCTGCCACCACCTCCACACCCGAGCGGAGGCGGGGACCTGGGGCCCCTGAGTGCTGGGGAGGCAGAGCACAGGGAAGCCCCTCCCTGGATGTCACCATTTAGAACGCGGTGCCAGCTGCGCAGGGGTCTCCTGACAACAGCGTCTGTCTGCTGCTTGTCAGGCCTCGCTAGAGAATGGAGCCCTCCCCCTTCCCTGGACGGAAAATCCAACAGCATCCGTGCTCAGGTGTCAAGACAGAGCTTCTCCTTCCTCCCGAGAGCAAAGCATTCAGGCTGAAATCAGAGGCAGCTCAGGTCCTCCAAGAAGCCGGTCCAGATGGCTGTGACCTGACTGTCCCTCCCTCTGGTTCCCACACTCATGCAAGGCAACGACTATTCGTTCAGCAAACGCGTACTAGCATCTTCTAGGAGCCAGTTTGGGCCAGGGATACGGTGACAGCCAGGAGCAGCCCATCATTGTTCATGGCTGGCCGGCTCCTCTCTCTAAGCCCCGCCTTTCGCCAGCCCAACTCGCATTGTGCCTTGGCGAACAGAAGGCTCTCACATGTCCCTTGGAGAATTCCCTGAGCCCTCCACCCCGCAGACGGTTGATGCTACCGCTCTGTGTCACTCCGAGCAAGGAGAGAGAGAATATTCTAATAAGGAGACACCAAGGAAGGTGCACTGGAGGTGTGAGAACACTTCAGGAAAACGCTGGGCCTCCTGCGCGGCTCAGGGACCCTCTGCTGGGCCCACCCTGGACCGCGTGGCTTTGCGTGTACCCTCATGCCTGCGTGCACAGGTGCACACACGGATGCACAGATCACCCTTGACCCCCTGCACGGCCTCAGGGAAAGCCGCACTTCCTCCTTCTTCCTGGGGCGCAGCTCCCCCTCTCCTAGGGCACCCAGGCTGGGCAGAGGCCGCACCCCCCGCCTCCTCTCGGCCCCACGTACCCTTCCTTCCAGGGCACCAGGCCCTGCTCTCAGAAGCGAACATGGGCCCCTACTGCCTGGAGGGGACCACAGGGCGCCGTGGCCCCTGCTCTTAGCCCGACTCCAGCGTCTGTGCTGAGGGCAATTTCAATCCAGCTTACTGCTTGCAACTGGGGTAGGAGGAAGGCGGAAAGGGCGCCCGCAGTAAGACCAGTGAGAAAACAATTTACCTAAAAACAATTTACTCATACACACAAATACACACACTGAAGCCCACCCTAGGAGCTGGTAAAAATTCAGATCTTAGGCCCGTGTGTCTTCCAGAGTCTCGCCTGGGTTTCCTGAAGTGCGAGCCTAGGAACCGACAGGGCGCCACGGCCCCGCGGCAGGGATCCCGGGGCAGCCCTGCAGGGCCCCTGCGCCCGGGGGCAAGGCGGGCAGGTCTGCGGGCCGGGAGGCTGTGTCCTCACGCCTGCGGCCCCGCCCGGCCAGCGTCCTCCTCCCACCTGCATGCGCTGCTCTGGAGGCCGGGGCGCCCTCTCCGGAGGCCTGGGGATTGGGTTCACAGTCTGGGTTCCGGGGCGCCCAAGTCAGGGGTGCGGTGAGCGGTCCTGTCCTTGGCCGGCACGTGCGCACGCTGGGGTGGCCGCGGATGGCCCTGCACCTACACCCCAGTCTCCTCTCTGATCCAGTCCCGAAATACAGCGAGCCTCGTGTACACGCCCGGCTTGTCCCTCTGGGCGCAGCCGTCGCCCCAGCTCACCACGCCGGCCTGGAAGATCCGCCCGTCCGCCTCCACGCTGGACAGGGGGCCCCCGGAGTCGCCCTGCGGGGAGACCCGCGCCGAGGTGTGAGGGCCCGTCCCGCCCCCTTGCCCAGGGCCCCGCCCCCTGCCCGGCCCCGCCCATCGCCCTGGACTCCGCCCCCTGGCCGGGCTTCGCCCCGCCTCCTCCCCTGGGGCCCGCCCCCATCCCGGGCCCCGCCCCCTACCCCTGGGGCCCCGCCCCCTCGCCTCAGGCCCCGCCCCCGCCGGGCCCGCCCCCGCCACGCCCGCACCTGGCAGGCGTCCATGCCGCCGCTGAGGTAGCCCACGCACATCATGCGCGGGGTGATCTGCTGCGGGAGCAGGCTCTCACAGGTGGTCTGGTTGATGACGCGGATCTCGCCCTTCTGCAGGACCAGCGCGCCGGAGCCTGCGCGGGGGACGAGGCTGACGCGGGCCATCCCACGGCAGGGGCCTCGCAGCCCCAAGGGCTCCAGGAGCTGCTGCCGCCCAACCGAGGGGCCGTGCTGCAGCCCTGCGGGTCACCGCGCGGCAGGGGGCGGGGGACGGGGCGTCGCCGGGAAGCGGTGTGGGAAGGGGCAGGAGGGGGCGCCCCGGGTCGTAAGGCAGGAGCGCCCCAAGTCAGGGTCTTCTTTATCCGCTCTGCGCTCTACAGAGCCCGCAGCGCTGTCGCATAACTGAGCTTCCCATACAGGTCTCCCCACCACCGGCCTTGGGACGGAGGCAGAAGGACGGGGAGCCCGGGCTCCCGCCCAGGCCTGCATCACACGCGGCTGCCTCCAGGGGCCTGGCCGGCCTTCCACCCGGAGCCCGGCGCCGCTTCGCTCCTGGACACCTGGCCCCGCCAGCGGGGGGGGGGGGGGGGGGGCGGTGTCAGCCCACTCACCTCCTTCCTGCGTGTGACCCCAGCCGGTGACCCAGATGGCCTTGCCGGCGGGGAAGCTGTGCGAGGTCTCGGGCAGGCAGATGGGCCGCACGGTGCTGCTGTACTCGGCCGGCTTCTCCAGCTCCAGCAGCGCAATGTCATAGTCGAAGGTGAAGTCGTTGAAGTAAGGGTGGGAGATGATGCGCTTGAGGCCGAGCTCCTGCACCCCAGTGGCGCTGCGCTTGCTCTGGTCATGCAGGCCCAGGAAGGCGGTCCACACCATGTGGTCCGAGTACCTGGGACAGGAGCCCCGGCAGCTGCGGTGAGCCGAGCGCCCACCGAGGCCGGCCACCTGCTGCTGCCCCCGTGGCCAGTGGGCCGAGGCTTCCGAGCGGCTGCAGCCCTCCACCGAAACCGCTGGTGGCTGCCGCCAAGCACTCATCCCCTTCGACCCCCTTGTTTCCTTCTTTTAATACATTTTCTTCTGATGCCAAAAATATATTTCTTAGGGCAGCCCAGGTGGCTCAGCGGTTTAGCGCTGCCTTCCACCCAGGGTGTGATCCTGGAGACCCGGGATCAAGTCCCGCATCAAGCTCTCTGCGTGGAGCCTGCTTCTCCCTCTGCCTGTGTCTCTGCCTCTCTCTCTGTGTCTCTCGTGAATTAAACACACACACACACACACACACACATATATATATATTAGTGATCTGATATTCCACAGAAGGCATAACACAGAACTCAACACAGACTCTTTTAACAGCGGTATGTACTCTAAGAACAAAATGAGTTGGGAAATAGGCTGAACCACGTCTACGAGGTTTGCTATTGGTAGTGGGACACGAGTCACAACTCCAAACGGTACCCTGTATACTGGCAGACTGAACACATAAGGATGACACACTGACACTGCTGGGAGCTAATCCCCGGTGTGGGGGAGGAGATACAAAGACAGTAGGGGAGAAGGGCGTGCAATCAGAGGTAGCAAGAAAAGCTCAGGATTTTTCCAAAAAATGATCCCAAAACAATGACATCCCCAATAGCACCCAGAACATCAGATGCTCCTGCTCCCATAGGCACTCCCAGGTCTCCCTCCCCTGCCCAGGGCCCGATTCTCAACTCCTACCCGCAGGGCTTAGGTAACCTGTGCACCATCCATCCCCACACAGCACACACCGTGGGCGCATGTACGTATGTGCATGTGCACGTGTACATTCACGTGTATGTGTGCGTGTATACATGTGTGTGCATGCAAGTGCACGGGCACATATACATGTATGTGCACGCATGTGTGCACATGTGTGGATGTGCGCCTACATGTATGTGCATATATGTGTGTGTGTGTGCGTGTACGCATGTGTGTGCATGAGCACACATGACGTAGCAGGTCCCCCCCACCCCAGAAGCCTGGGAAGTGCAGGGAAGAAGCCTGATCCATCTGGGGCCCCCGCAGTAACCACAGCAACAGTGTTGCCTGCATGGACCACACTCTCTCAAGGAAGACTGGGAATCAAGAGGAGATTGGGACGCCTGGGTGGCTCAGCGGTTAAGCATCTGCCTTCAGCCCAGGGCATGATCTTGGAGTCCTGGGATCGAGTCCCACATCGGGCTCCCCGCATGGAGCCTGTTTCTCCCTCTGCCTGTGTCTCTGCCTCTCTCTCTCTCTCTCTCTCTGTCTTTCATTAATAAAAAAAAAAAAAGGAATCAAGAGAAGATGGAAGAGGAAATGAAAAATTCAGTGATGAAGCAAGACAAGGAGGGAGAAGGAACCGAGGGTGGGGGGCGGCATACGTGGGGATCCAGGCTTGCCATGCCGAGGGTCTGGAAGCAGCGGGGTTGTGGCAACTCTGAGGACGCCGAGTGCCCCGGGCTGGGTCCCACTCACGGGATCCCTGGCGGGAAGGCTAATTCCAGGCCTGGGCCTGTGCAAATACAAGACGCGCCGAGAGCCCCTGGGAAGGCCCGAAAGCACAGAAGTGGCTCAAAAGAACCAAAGAATGGGGGCCGATCAAAGGGACACGGGGCCATGCTTGAGGAGACAGCAGTGTCAAATCTGGAAGAGTCTGAGCCACAAGCAGGGCATTGGGTTACAACCCGAGGAGACGCGAGTGTGCGAGAGTCCACACGGATATCAATAGCGTGGAAGGGAAGGGCCGAAGCTTCCTCACAGAAGGGCTGCACGCTGCCTCAGTCCCAAAGAATAAAGAAAGGGGGGCTTGAGCGCGGGGAGCCCTGGCAAGCACCGCGTGGGCCCAAGGAGAAAGACCCACATTAACCGGCGATGTCAGGCCGGCATCCTGGGCCTGCTGACGGGGCGCGACCTTCTTTCCAAACCCTCAGAAGCCGTGTCTAATATCACACGAACATGAGACGAGCCCGGGGGGGAGGGGCATTCGACAGGACCCCTGGCCTCCAGACTGTCACGATCACAGAAACAAAGACGCAGCCTGATCGCAGCCTGGGGACACGGGACAACAGAAGGCAAAGTGGTAACGCAGACGGGCTCCGGCGCCCAGGGGAGCTGAGTGTGCAAGCCACGGAAGGCCAGGTGAGCCCGCGGGGGCTCCGGGGCTCCTAGCAGGGGCCCCAGGTGGGCCTCGCTGTGCGGGGGCCACACCGGTGCACGGCCAGGGAAACCGGGTGACGGCGTGCGGAACCCCGTCTCTATCCCAGGGTAATCAGTGTTACAAGTTCTGCAGTGAGCTCTCACCCTCCCGAAGAGGATCAAAACCACTTTTGCCAGGGGCAGAGCAAAGTGTGACAAAAACGAGGGAGGGGGCCAGCTGGGGTGCGCTGCCCTTCAGCCCAGCAGGGCCCCGGGGACAAGGGCCCTGACCCGGCTCCCCCACCCCCGCCTGACCTCCGAGTGACCTCCATCAGCCACGCCCGCGTGCACCTGCCTGGGCCCTGGCTCTCCTGCCAGCCGCAGGAGGGGGACTACAGCCCAGCCACCCTCCTTTGCGCAGCCAGCAGAGGGTGGGGATCCTCCGGAAGGCTCTGCTCCCTCCCCTGTGCCTGTTCCTCCGGGAGGAAGGGGTCCCAACAGACTCCCTCGACGGCCGGCGGCCAGAGGGCCTGGGCAGGCTGGCACGAGGACACAAGGAGCCCCGGGCCTGGGCAGGCCACCTGCCCCCGCGCCCCCGTCCTGGGAGGCCAGCATGACCCCTCCTGAGAGACCTTCCCCATGCCAGGCTGGGTGTGCCCGAGGATGCGAGGCTCCCATGGGCAGAGCACACGGCGTGCCAGGTGCAGAGCCTCTCAGGAGCAAGAGCACGTCATTCTCACAACTCCAAGGACAGGAACTCATGGTGTCCCCCTTACTGCGGAGGGACCTGAGGCCCAGGAGGCGAGCATGACTTGCCCAAGGTCACCAGGCAAGCAGGGCTGGAGCGTGAATGTGAGTCTTGAGTCAGCCAGTGCCGAGGAGCCCCCGTGCACACTGACCCCCACGAGCCTTGGCATCCGCACGCGGGCTCTAGTCTCTCTGTGCCACTCGCTAGCTGCGTGCCCTCGAGCTCCTGTCCTTACCTCCCTGACCCTCCATTTCTGGAAAATGGGGATGTAATGGGAGCAGGTGCAGTCACACGGTAACTGGGCTTCTGGAGGGGCATCCGGATACCGCGGTACCTAAGTCTGTGTCTGTGATCACTGCTGTGAAGCCCCAGCGGCGCCAACCTGGCATGACGTACACTCGGGGAGAAAGAAAACACAGAAGGGATGCCTGCCGGCCTACCTGAATCCTCGGTCGTCAATGAAGCAGTGAGCGGCCGACACCAGCCAGTTGGGAGAGATGATGGAAGCCCCGCACACGTGGCCCTGGCCCAGCACGTGGAGGCTCACCTGCCAGGGCCACTCGCCTTCGTCCGCATTCGTGCCCCCAACGACCCGAGACTGCCTGGTGAACGATCGCAGCCCACAGTCTGGGAGAAGCAGAAAACCCAAAGGTCAGAGGGTCGGGGTCTGGGCACCGGCGCCCAGCTGAGCCAGAGGCCGTGGGAGGCTGTCCCCTTTCGGGGGGGACCCCCTACAGGTATCTCTGAGACCCGGAGACCCCACTGACTTTCACCTGGCCCCTCTCCTTGCCCCAGACCCCAAACCCTCTCACTCCCACCTCCCCATTCCTGCCCAAATGCGTTTGGAGGCCTTCGGACACCTGCTGGTTTGCCTGGATTTAATTTGAGTGTCATTTGCCTAGACTTCCTTGCTGACAGACGAGAGCTGGCCCAGGGGACAGCAATCATCCTTCCCCCCCGGGCAGACACACACTGTCACCAGGGGAGAGCTGGGTGAGTGAGGCACTGGCATGACTGGCACCTCTGTAGAGGCCTTGCCCAGTGAACAACCTGCACAACCGTGCGCAGCGGCCCTGCTCACCGCAATCCTTCTCATCCGAGCCGTCACTACAGTCCTTCTTCCCATCACACTCGGGGTTGCTCTTGCTCAAACAGAGCCCATTGTGGCAGCGATAGGTGTGTTTGGTGCAGGCCACAGTTCTCACTGCACAGCAAGAGGTATAAGGGGCAGAGAATCAGTTCCTTGGCAGCACCCAACCAGAAACCTGATGACCCGTCCACCTTACGCCCCTCATCAGGCTGGCCCCACCCATCCACACCCATGCCCACGCCCACGTGCTCCCAGCCCCACCGGAGGTTCTCCACCTTCTGGAACATTCTCCCCCCACCAACACACTTTCTCATCACGCTTCACACATAGGGTGGTTTGTGCTCATCAACCTTGGGACACCCTACAGTGTGAGCGAGGCCACGGCTGCCTCCTCCTTCCTGGTCCCACCAGGAGAGAAGTCCCTAAAGGAAGGTGGGGCTGGGCCAGGCCTCACCCAGGTCACACGTGGCCTCATCGGATCCGTCCCCGCAGTTGTCCGTCCCGTCACACTGCTGGTTCTGTGGGAGGCACTTCCCGTTGCCACACCTGAAGGTCTGAGCTGGGCAGCCTGGGGGCGGGAGGCACAAACACTGAGCGGTGGCCCAGCGGCCCCTGCTGAGGGTGGGCCGCAGGGAGGCCGGCCAGCCCCGCCCCACACTCACTGCACTCCTGCTCGTCGCTGTTGTCTCCGCAGTCGTTCACGCTGTCGCACACCCAGAAGAGGGGCTTGCAGAACTTGTTCTTGCACGTGAACTGGTAGGTGGCGTTGCATTCTAAAGGGAGCGGGGGGGGGGGGGGGCAGCGTGAGCCGGGCTCCAGGCCTCCAGTGCAAACTGCTCCCCAGGGAAGCAGCGGCAACCACAGCTGCTGGGGGGCAGGGGGCTCCCCGGCTATGGAACCGACCCCAGGACTGCAGAAACACTGTGCCATTCGCTCAGAGGGAGGAGGGAGGGAGGGCAGGGGGCGGGGGGGGCGGGGGGGGGGCATAGGGCACTCACGGCAGTTGAGCTCGTCGCTGTAGTCCGTGCAGTCAGCCCAGCCGTCACAGCGCAGCTCATTCCGGATGCATCTCCCCGTGTGACACATGAACTTCCCCGGGCACGCTGCGGGGGACAGGGTGGGCCTCAGGTCCGCGGCCACCGGCCCCGCCATCCACGCTGGCCGCCCTCCCTCGGGGCCACCCTCACGGCCACACTGACGACCAAACAGGACCCTGTCCCCCAGCCGGCCCTTGGTGTAGAGGGGCAGGGGTCCCGGGCCCCAGCGGGCTGGCGCAGCGGGGACCTACCACCCAAGGCCGGCCCGGGTGGCCAGCCGCAGAGCCACAGCGAGGGGCCCTCCTGGCCGCCCGGCCGCAGCCCCAGGGGGCTCCACACAAGGTGGACGGAGGCAGCCACTGTGCCCTGTCCCCCGGCCCGTGTCCCCGGCCGCCCACACCCGCTGAGTGCTAGGCTCCCCCAGCCCCACTCGGAGCAGCGGTAGCCTGGCAGACGGGTGATGCGTGCACCCGCTCCGCGTGTCAGGCGGCATCCCGAGATTTCCTGAGTTCTGAGGCTGGAAACGTGTCAGCCCGCTGATGTCACAAGGCCGGTGACAGAGCCAGGCCGGGGGCGGGCGGCGCTCCTGGCTCCTCGCCAGGAGTTCTAGTTACTGATCAGAGGGGTCGTTCGCCTCGTCCCGCTCCGGGAGCCGAGCCGAGCAGGAGCCCGCAACTTAAGTCTGGATCCTGTGCAGACGGGAACCGTCTCCATGACGTCGGGCGGAACCAAACCGTCAGCGCCAATGTGGGAAAACCGCCATGCGCGGGAATGAAAGGGAGAGACCACCCGACTGTCGGAGCTCAGGGTAGTCACTGCGGCGCCCACGCCCCGTGGATTCTCACGTGTCTCAGAATCGCGCTACTAGTCCCAAAGGCGCTAAAAGGCCACAAAGTCAGGCACAGATTGGCAGGGTCAAGGCCATGCTGGAACAACGGGACAGACGGCTCGGGGGCCAGGGGGACCCTTTGGGCCCCGGTGCCTCGCAGGGGCTACAGGGCGCTGTGCGGACCAAGCACTCACTGCCGCCTTCTCCAGTAAATGCATCTATGGCAGGGTTTTATTTTTCCCTCAAAAGGCTGCCGGAGTGGTACACACCCCGCGTGCCCTGGTGTCTCGGAACTAGGGGAGCACAAGGCTAGGAAGACCCAGCTGGAAGGTCCATCCAGCCCCTCTAGCCGGGCTGCTCCCCCTGGAGACGTGTACTCACGATCACTGGAATCGTATGACAAGTACTCGGCCAAGAACCCCGTGTCGGTGTAGGACTGGTCGGAGTGGAAGCGAACGGTGATCTTGTTGCTCCTGCTGGCGACCACAAACTGGGGCCTCTCTCCGCAGTACCTGGAGGGGGTGCTCGACGGTAGGAAGAGGGTCCTGCGGGGTTGGGGGCAACCCCCCCCAGCACCGGCCGCCCCAGGGCGCTCACTTCTCCCCGTTGACCTCCACGTAGTCCTTGGAGCAGGTGCCCGGGGGGGTGTTGGGCTCCAGCATGTAGAAGGCCTTGAAGAGCACCTTCACGTTCTGGTGGCTGGGCACCTAGGGAGGGACACGCGCTGGGTCTCTGTGGCTTCCCCGAAACCCAGCGCCGCCTGGGCTGTGGGCGGGGGCCCGCGGGCAGCACGGAACACGCAGCAGGAGGGATGCGGGTTGGCCGTTTGGAAGAACCTCCAGGCTCAGAGGCGAGAGGCACCCGGTTCCCCTAGAGAGCGTGCGGGCCTCCCGGCGCCGTCAAGGAAAGGGCAGCCGGGGCAGCCAGGATGGCGCGAGGGCGGCCTGGGCGCCAGGACACTGGTCCAGCTCGCCGCCCTTTAGCGATTGCTTTCTCCGCGCTCGCACACATTCTGCGACTTTACCTGACTTTACCTCTGAGAGGCCCACTCGCCGTCACCCCCCTTCCACCCGGGAGCAGGCCGAGGCACGGGGGGACCGGCCCGGGTCCCCCAGGCAGTCCCGAGCAGGAGCTAGGATTCCAGCGGCTTCTGCGGAGCCGCAAGCTCGCGCCCCTGCCCCTGCCCCGCACTGCAGGCTGCCGAGTTGGCTCTGGGGGCAGCTTGGGAGCCCACCTCCTCTCCCTGCCCTCCTCTTGCCATCCCGGGGCGCCCCCTCCCCCTGCCCTCCATCTCCCCCGCCCCTGCCCTCCCGGGCACCCGCCGGCTCCTACCTCAATGTCCCAGGTGCAGTTCATGTTGGGCGGGTAGTGGCCAGGATAGTAGGGGCTGCTAAAGGTCCCCTGGCTGCCGCGTAAGGAGCCGCCACAGCCTGAAAGGAGAGGCAGGAGACGGGCCTGAGCACCGAGGACCCCGTGGCCGGGTGGTCTGACGCCGGGGCCTGACCCTCCAGGGAGGCCTCCCAACCCACACAGGAGGTGAAAGGCCCCGCGGCTCCGAGCTTCGGACCTCTGTCACCGACCTCTGTCACCGACCCCGGCCAGTTCCCAGCCGGACCGCCCGGCCCCTGGGCCCCGCCAGCCCCGCCTGGGCCCCGTCGCGCCCGTCCTTACTGCTTAGCTTAGGCAGCTGGAAGAATGTGGCCTCAAAGCCAGGGTGTCGCCGCTCCGTGTTGGTGATCAGCGTGACGAGCAGGACGTTCTGGGAGGAGAGGAAGGTCAGGTTGTAGGAGGGAGGGTAGGTGCCACACAGCCTGCGGGGGCAGAAGGGGCGCGTGTTACGGGGAGCACACAGACCCCGCGCCCGGCCCTGGTCCCATCCAGGCCCTGGTCCCTCAAGAGCCCCTCCCTGCATAAACGACCTGAACACGGATTTAGTTAAAACCACAAAAGCTCAGGGGCGCCTGGGTGGCTCAGTCGATGAAGCATCTGCCTTCGGCTCCGGTCACGGTCCCGGGGTCCTGCACGGCCTCCCCGCTCAGCGGAAGCGTCCCCTCCCTCGGCTGGTCCCCCTGCTTATGCCTGGTCTTGCTCTCTCTCTTTTTCTCAAATCAATAAATGCAATTTTTATTTTATTTTATTATTTTATTAAATTTTTATTCATGAGAGACACAGAGAGAGGGAGAGGCAGAGACACAGGCAGAGGGAGAAGCAGGCTCCCTGCAGGGAGCCCAATGTAGGACTCGATCCCGGGACTCCAGGGTCACGCCCTGGGCTGAAGGCGGCGCTAAACCGCTGAGCCACCAGGGCTGCCCTAAATGCAATATTTTAAAAAGTAAAAACAACAACAACAACAAAAAAAAAACAGCAAAAACTCACAAACCTCCAATGTCTGACTACAGAAGATTCGTTAAACTATGGACTAAATGATAACAATAAATAAATAAATAAATAAATAAATAAATAAATAAATAAATAAATAAAATATAAATAAATAAATCATAATAATAACAGTAACAGTGAGAGCTCCCCCAGCACCCGGGAACACGCCAGGCTCCGTGCTCAGCTGCGTATCTGTGAGTTCTTCCTAACAACTCTACCGAGTAAATACTAGCCGCTCCCCCCCCCTGGATTCCACAAATAAGGAAACTGAGGCACAGGCAGTAAAATAACTCGCCCAAGGGTCCACAGTTAATAAGTGGAGGGGCTGAAAACAAAACTTGGGCATCCAGGCTCCGGAACCCACGCAGCTGACGCCCGAGTCACTGGCCTCTACGCGCCGCCAGGTGATGCAACTGTCACCGAGGAAAGAGCCGAGCCGACTGACTGGGACAGACCATCACGCGTACACCCGCACAGCACGTGCGTGGACGGGCCTTCGACACGAATGTGACGTGATTACGTCCAGGTGGGACAGTCACGATGGGGGCTTGAGCTCTCAGGCGGGGCTATTCCCCGCCTTCTCCCCCCGGAACCCTGTGCTGCCTTCGTCGTACAACCCAGAAGCCAGAGGGGGACCGCGCCCCGCACACACACTGGAGCCGGTTGCCCAGCGGCGGCCACAGACGCTCCCATCCCGGCCGGAGCCGGGACGTTACCCCATTATTCACCATGAAACGTCTGCCCCGCTCATTTCCGCGGGCGGCAGGAGAAGGTGGCCCACTGAGGCAGGCGCCGTGAGCCGCGCGAGCACCCCGGCACCCCAGCTCAGCAGGTCAGCAGGTGCACGTTGTGGCCACTGGGCCGTACCGCCCCTGGACACGCTGTCCCCGGGACTGGGAGCCCCCGGAGCGGCCGATCACCCTGGGGCAAGCCCTTCGCACGCACACACTCAACACGGAGCCCACTCCCTAACGGCCTCCTCCCTGGCTCGTCCACTCCCTAACCACCTCCTCCCCGAGGCTCGTTCCGGGGCTGGTCTCCAGGCCACCATCACCAGCCCTAGCACCCCACCACCAGGTGCCAGGCGACGAGACACGGCACTGTGCCCCAGAACCCCCCGGAATTATGCAACCAGCGACCCGAAACCTGCGGAGCTGCCTTGCCTTGTCTTGCCCGGAAACCACGACAAAGGCCCTTGCCCATGTTCCCTCCACCCCCGGGCCTCCTGGCGACCCGGGGCTCCCCTGTGGCCCCGCCCACGGGAACTGTGGGTCACAGAAGATCTCTTCAACGGCAGCGTCTCCCGATCCATCGACCTCCACATAACTGGTAACAATGTGGGGTCTGCACCCCCACCCCGCCCCTCGGCCCCGGGGTGACCTCCTTGCCCGGCCCACCTGCGGACGTCACCTCCGAGCTCTGCAGGAGCTCACACTGAGGACCACGCACCCTGACCTCTGATGCCCGGTGGCGTGCAGGGGCCCAGCATCGGCCGCAGCTCCAGCCCACGATCCCCTCCCCCCGCCCACCTCCACGCCCCCGGGACACTCACTGCACCACGGCCCGGGGTTCCACGGGGCTCAGGGTGTCATACACCATGACCAGGTCGCTGCCCCGGTCGTCACAGGTCGCGACGTCAAAGCTGCGGAAGGTGAGGCTCAGCACGAAGTCGGCATCCCCGCGCAGGGTCCACTGGCAGCGGGCCCGGGCCGGGTACGGGCTGTCGGGGAAGCCGGGCGTGGTGAAGCGCATCAGCTCCCCACTCCGGGCATGCAGGGCGAAGCTGCAGCTGTCTGCGTGGGACACAGAGAGGTCGTGGGGGCAGCGCTGGGCAGAGGCGGCCAGAGGTGGCGGGGGCAGCCACCCAGGGCCTTCCTGGCGCTGCACCTGGGCCTGGGCCCTCTGAGGTGTCCCCGGCCTCCCTGGACCCCCGACGGATGGAAGACGGGGCTTCTCGCGGCCTGGGACAGGTGGGGGCTGTATGCCCGCGTGGGGAGGCACCCCCCCTCTGGTCTGGGAGGAGGACAGGATACTTACTGTCCTGGGCGGTCTGTACTGTTCTGGGGTCAGTGGCTGAAGAAGAAGGAGGAGGACAGAGCGGTTACCGACGTGCAAGGTCCCCGCTCCTGCTTCCTTGCTCCCGGCGCGGGCATCCTCTCGTCCCTGCACCTGCTCGGGAGCGCGGCCTGCGCCTCCCCCCACTGCCCGGCAACTGCCCACGCCTGGCGCCCCGTACTCACGGAAGGCCACCACCGAGGTGAGCACGAAGGAGTTGAGGGCGCGGGCTCGGGGCGGCAGCACGGCCGCCCGCTCCTGGGCCATGACGCGCTCGGCATCCTCCACCAGGTACTGGGGGATGCTGAACTCGGACCAGTAGTAGGCGATGATGCTGCCCTCGCTGGGGGAGAGGCATGAGGCTGGGGCGCGGCTGGGCACCGGGCTCCCCCTGTCCCCATCCCCCCCCCCAGGTGCCGGGTGCAGATGGGACGGCTTGGGCCCCGACACCCTCCTCCAGGCAGGGGCCCGCCCCAGATTCCTCACGCTTGCCCTCCCTTGGATCCCTGAAGCCAGAGCCCGTACCCTGTTCCCTCTCCTCTCGGTCTCGGCACCCACCCGGACGTGTGCTGGGGCCGCTCGGGGCTGGGGAGCTGGGCAGCAGCCTGGGCTGCGGGCGCCCAGCTCTCCGGGAGCTGGGCACACTGACCCCCAAGCCCCCGGCTCTGTCTCCTTGACTCGGAGACGGGATGAGAATGCCACCTGCCACACGGCGTTCGTACACAGTAAATCAAACAAAACCGAAAGTCCCCTTGAGATAGTCTATTTTTAAAAAACAGTGTGTTGAAGGCGGTTAAGGAAGGAAAATGTGGAGCCTCGCTGAAGCCCTCCAAGCCCAGATTTGGAAAAGTAACAAACGGTCACCACCGTTACTGAGCCGCTTATGCGGCAGACAAGCCACCTGCCCTGGCCCCGGGTCCCCTGGCCACTTCCTTACGGTCGCCCTGCCTGGGAGGGCGCACAACAGCGGCTCCGAGAGACAAATAGGCCTGGCTCTCCAGGCCCACTCCTCCGCCTGCGAGCTCCCTGCCCCACCAGCCCTCTCCCCAGCACCCACCTGAAGGCGGTCACCATCGACTTCTTGTGGTAGGGGCCCAGGGACGGCACCCCACTGTACAACAGCTTGAGCTGGGGAAAGGAGACAGGGCTCACAGGCGGGCCGGAGAGCGGCAACAGCACCCCCCGACCTGCGCCCCCTTCCCAGGCGCCTGCCAGGGATCTGGGAGGGAAGGGAGCCGTGTCCTTTGGGTCTGGGTGAGGGCGGGTGCGCCAGGGGTGACAGCAGGGACGGGGCTCCCTGCCCTGGGACCGGACTCACCGCTTCCTTCACCTTGTTGGCCAGGTTTGCAAACTCAGTGGAGTTGGAGTTCTCGTAGGCATCCACGAAGTTCTCGTTGGTGATCCTCAGGTAGCCATTGAAGATCTTCTGAACCCGCATGTTCTGGTCTATGGGAGGCAGAGAAAGAGGGTGCTCAGCGGTGGTCACCATCACCCCCAGTGTCCTCAAGCTGCCCTCGTAGCCCTCGGGGAGTGAATGCCAGGAGGGGCCCGGAGGGGCCTGGAGGGACCAGGAGGGATCAGGAGGGGCCAGAAGGGACCAGGCAGGGCCAGGCGGGGCCAGGAGGGGCCAGGAGGGATCAGGAGGGACCAGGAGGGGCCAGGAATGACCAGGAGGGACCAGGAGCAACCAGGAGGGACCAGGAGGGGCCAGGAGGGGCCAGGAGTGGCCAGGAGGGGCCAGGAGCAACCAGGAGTGACCAGGAGGGACCAGGAGGGACCAGGAGGAGCCAGGAGGGACCAGGAGGGGCCAGGAGGGACCAGGAGCTATGAGGAGGGACTGGGAGCGACCAGGAGGGACCAGGAGGGGCCAGGAGGGACCAGGAGGGACCAGGAGGGGCCAGGAGGGGGCCAGGAGCCACCAGGAGGGGCCAGGAGACACATGGCCTGGGGCCAGCCCTCCACCCTTAGGGCTTGAAAGAGCCAGGAGAGACAGGGCCCCAGACGCTTCCTCGGCTGCCCCCAGCTGCCCCAGTTGTCTCCCTCGCGCCACACCCGTGGGCCCCGCACCTATCCCGGAGAGGAGCACTGTCCCGCCCTCCCCCCCAGGGCCAAGCCCTGGCCCTACTCACACTGGAAGTGCCACATCAGGAGGCAAGCCACGAGGGAAAGCAGGACCAGGCCGGCCAGCCCGGTCACCAGCAGCACCCAGCGCTTGGGGCCCCGCTTCTCCACCTTCCTGGTGTTGTTGACCGGCAGGAACTCCACGCCCTCCTCGACGCCACTCATGCTCTGAACAGAGAGACGCAAAGCGGCTCAGGGACGGCCGTGACCTGGGCGGGCAGCTCCCGCGTGGACAGCGGGCCAGGAGAAGCCCCCGCGCCCTGGGCCGGCAGCGCCACGCTCAGAGGGCTTTCCAGCTGACAGGTCCCAGCAAAATGACACAGGCGGGCTAAGCCCAGCCGTGAGTCACCCCAACCAGGTGGACGCCCGGGGGGGCGGGGCGGACCGGCCACCAGGGCGTGTCACCTCCTCCAGGTGCACAGAGGCTCCCCCCCCCGCCGCCCTCCCCCCGCCGCCTAGCCAACGCTGAGCCAGCCCCACGGAAGCTCGGCAATAAGGCGGAACCCGCCAGGCCCAGGGGACACGCCGTCTGTTTCCCACCTTAAGTGTCCCTGTCCGGGATCCCCAGGTGATGTGGGGCCCGTCTCTCCGGGAACCCACACCCACACTCACGCCCAGGACAAGGACGGGAAAGAGCAAGACTTGCGACAAACGGGAGGGCAGCTTACCCGGGCTCCTCCCGGAGAGGGCCGGAGAGGGCCAGGGAAGCAAGGACAAGGACACACGCACCCGAGGGCCAAGAGGAAACTGTCCTGCCCTGTGACACGCACTCCGCGTGCCCTTAACCCCGGAGAGGAGCTCCGGCCCCTCAGGGGTGACCCACTCCAAAAGGGGACATGACAAAGGCAAGAGCCCCCACGTCCCAACCCCCCAGACGCGGCCGTGTGCGGTCCCAGGTGGGGTTTTCCTCTGGTGCCCACCTCACGCTCCACCGCGTGCGGGAACTGACACGGCTGGTCTTGTCACGCGGGAGCACCATCTGGGAACTCCACCACTCTGAGCCCCCCCATTCCTGCCACGCTGGGTCCTCCTATTTCTGTTCTTCAACTGGTTCCTGCTGCGACTTGAATATTGCAGCAGGAACACAGCCCCTACCTTGGGCCTCGGATTGCAACGTGTAAGTATATCAAATCAACGTGCTCTGTCCCTTAAACCAACACAACGTTCCACGTCAATTATGTCTCCATAAAATACGTTTTTAAAAAGGAATGAAACACACCCCAGAGGTGACCGCTTAAAGTGCTTTCACCAACTGCTTATTTTGGAATTTATCTCCGTATTTCCAGGTAATATGCCAATAGCACTATCTCTTGATTCATCTATTCAAAAATATAATCATCTGACTTCCTATTATGATCATGTGAATTCTAATATCTTTCTTTCTTTGGGTGGCTCAACTGGTTGAGCATCTGCCTTCAGCTCAGGTCCTGATGTCAGGGGTCGTGGGATTGAGCCCCACATTGGGTCCCTGCTCACTGAGGAGCCTGCCTCTCCCGCTGCTTGGGCTCTGTCTCTTGCTCTTGCTCTCTGTCAAATAAATAAATAAAATTTAAAAATAATAATAACCATATCCTTCTTTCCTTTTGTATCTCCCATCCCCCCCAATAGTTATAGGGCTAAAATTTGTTTTTTTAAAAATCATATCCATACTCAGCTGACCCTGGCAGGGTTAGAGATGTCCACCCCCAACACAGTCAAAAATCCACATATAACTTTTGACTCCCTCAAAACTACTCATAGCTCTACTGGTGACCAGAAGGCTTACTGATTAACACATATTTTGTACGTTATACGAATTACAAACTGTACAATAAAGTAAGCTAGAAAAAAAGAATGTTAAGAAACTCATAAGGAAAATACATTTATAGGACTAAACTGTGTTTATTAAAAAAAAAAAAAAACCAGGATCCCTGGGTGGCGCAGCGGTTTAGCGCCTGCCTTTGGCCCGGGGCGTGATCCTGGAGACCCGGGATCGAATCCCACGTCGGGCTCCCGGTGCATGGAGCCTGCTTCTCCCTCTGCCTATGTCTCTGCCTCTCTCTCTCTCTCTCTCTCTCTCTCTCTCTCTCTGTGTGTGTGTGACTATCATAAATAAATAAAAAAAAAAACAACCCACATATAAGTGGGACCACACAATTCAAACTGTGTTGTTCAGAGGTCAACCATATTAGTCTTTGAAAATATTGTTCTTTATTGTTTCCTTCCCAGTACAACTAATTTATTTCCCCTGCTGCAGAATTCATTTACTTGGATTTCTTTTGAACATATACCCAGGGCTTCCTAGACAATCTTAGAGCCCTGCAGTACTTTTCTAATCTTCCACATAGAAAGTCTGTCAAATAACCTCTCACTTCATTTTTTTTCCTGGAATCTTCCCTCCTCTGTCCTTTCCCATAACTATTGTCTGGAACTTCCTTCAATAGCATCCAGGGAATTTCCTTCCTCTCCGTCTTCTGTTAAAACCCCTATTCCTCAGGGATGCCTGGGTGGCTCAGCAGTTGACCATCTGCCTTCAGCCCAGGCCATGATCCTGGAGTCCCGGGATCAAGTCCCACGTCAGGCCCCTTGCATGGAGCCTGCTTCTCCCTCTGCCTGTGTCTCTGCCTCTCTCTCTGTCTCTCTCTTGAATAAATAAATAAAATATTAAAAAAAAAAAACTCTTCCCTGGATTCCATGTCTTCATCTTTCTTGGATTACTTCATTTGGGAGAAATACACACTTCACTAGCTTCTCAAGAGGAAAATTTTTTGAGATGTTGCACACTTCTGAAAGTACCTTACCTCTGTATGCACATTTGTTGATAGTTTGGCTGGGTATCGAACTATAGGTTTCAAATCATTTTCACTTAAAATTTTGAAGGCTCCACTGTTTTTTTAGCTCCCAGTTTTGCTTTGGAGAAATACAAGAACAGTACAAATCCATTGTTTCTTATTCATAATTTGTTATCCCTCTCTGAAAGCTTTGAGGATGTGCTTTAAATTGAGTCTTTAAATTTCATTATCCTGAGCTCTCTCCACCGGCCCTTTGAATTTGGAGATTCATTATCTTTCAGCCTGGGAAACTTTCTTGTACAGGCATACCTTGTTTTATTGTGCTTTGCTTTATTGCACTTCACAGGTAATGCACTTTTTACTAATTGAAGATTTGTGGCACCATGAGTCAAGCAAGTCTTTGAGTGCCATTTTTCCAATAGCATTTGCTCACTTCATGTTTCCATGTCACATTTTGCTAATTCTCACAAGACTTCAAACTTCTTCATTATTAGTATATCTCTTATGGTGATCTGTGATCAGTGATTATGATTCACTGACAGTTCAGATGATGTTTGACATATCTTAATAATAAAGTATTTTTAAGTTAAGGTATGTACATTGTTTTTTAGACATGATGCACACTTAGTAGACTACAGTATAATGTAAGCATAACTTTTATAAGCACAAAGAAGCCAAAAAATTCATTTGACTTGCTTTATTTGCCATTTGCTTTATTGCAATCACCTGAAACTGAATCCACAACATCTCCAAAGTATGCTTGTATTATTTCTTAAATTATGTCCTCCCCTTCATTTTCTCTAGTCTTTCTGCAATTCCTATTATATTGATTCTCTACTTATACATTCTCACTATTATCCATCTCATTGGGGTTTTTTTAAGTAATCTGTACACCCAACATGGGGCTCGAACCCATCACCCCAAGATCAAGAGTCACACACCAGCCAGGCACCACCCCCTCATTGTTTAACTTTTCCACTGAATTTTTCATTTCTGCTGTTAACTAATTTCCAAGAGTACTTTCTTATTCTCTGAATTTTTCTCTTTCTTGTTTTCTGAACTTTGAATGCAAAATCTTCTCATCTTTGTGTTGCTGTCAAGTACCTTTTCTGTTTTGGACTTTCTTTTTCATGTTGAAGAAAGGATGTTAGATTGTTCATTCATATTTAGGAATGAGGTCCTAAAGACTGACTGGAAGCTCTGTGTGGATGTTTGCTACAGTCACTTCACCGTGGCTACAATTAAGTGGTGAGCTACTTTTTTTTTTTTTTTTTTAACTAGGCACTTCCAACTGTTAGACTATGTCTATCGTTTTTTCCTATGGGATGACTTAATTGCTCCACAGAATAATTTTCTAATCTCCTGGATAGAGTGATTTAAACCCAGCCACTAGCATTCTGGAATATGTGAAAGAAGAGGCCTTTGACTATTTTTCACCCCTCCCTACAGCCTTCCTCTGCACCTAACATCCTCAAGTCTAGAGAAATCTATTTCACATCCCTCATAGAGGACTGATGAGGTAGGAGTACATTGGTTTGCTATCTAAGTGGGGATCTGGGGATTCCTAACAATACCCTTCCATAGCTCTCCTTTATCTGATAGCCTGAGCCCAATTCCTGAACCTGATAGAGGACATTATCAAAGAACCCTGTAAGAATATTTCCAAGAGCTAAGGAGAGGCATATATCTTTAAATTCAACAGGCCCACTGAATAGTAAGAAAGATAAATGAAAAAGCACACTTAGCTGAATATATCACAATGAAATTTCAGGACACCAAGGATAGAGTAGATCCTTTGCATCTCTCCCTGGTGTTTTCTCCCTTCTCTCATATTTTACATTTCTTTGTCATTGGTTCTATTCTGGGACTTTTAAAACTTACTCCTGTGTAGCTTCTATGGAATTTTAAAAATGGCTTCACTGACATATCATTGACATAAATTATACATATTTAAAGTGTGCAATTCTTGGCATATATATATATACACCCATGAAACCATCACCACAATCAAGATAATAAACATATCTATCATCTTCTAAAGTTTCCTCTTGGCCCTCCCTTCCCATTCCTCCCTGATTCCCTCTCCAGTCCCAAAGCAACCACTTATCAGCTTCCTATCAGTAAAGACTAATTTGCTTTTTTCTAGGACTTTGTGTAAATGGCATTATTCAGCATGTACCATGTACTCCTTATTGTCTGGGCTCTTTTACTCAGCACAATATTTTGAAATTCATCCATGATATTACGTTCATTATGCTAATAGTGCATTCCTCTCTATTCTTGAGTAGTAGCCCATTGTATGTATGTACAATGATTTACTTATTCATCTGTTGAAAAACGTTTGGGTTGTTTCTAATTTGAGGCTATTACAAATAAAGCTGCTATAAACATTCCTGC